GCCAACAGGACAACGTCGTCTGCAAAAAGCAGAGACGAGATCCTGTGGTCCCCAAACCGGACTCCCTCTGGCCCCTGGCTGCGCCTAGAAATTCTGTCCATAAAAATAATGAACAGAACCGGTGACAAAGGGCAGCCCTGCCGGAGTCCAACATGCACTGGAAACAAGTCTGACTTACTGCCGGCGATGCGAACCAAGCTCCTGCTCTGGTCGTACAGGGACTGGACGGCCCTTAGCAAAGGGCCCCAGACCCCGTACTCCCGGAGCACCCTCCACAGGGCACTGCGAGGGACACGGTCGAATGCCTTCTCCAGATCCATGAAACACATGTGGACTGGTTGGGCAAACTCCCATGAACCCTCCACCCTGTAGCAGTTACATCTAATTTCACTAGTAAACAAACAAAATAAAATAACATTATTCATGTTAAAGGTTAGCTGGCAAATAGCTAACATAGCCTAATAGCCAAAGTAGCCAAACTTGCAAATGCAATTTCAGTGTTTCAAACTATACATATTATGGTTAAATGACAGAGTAGTTTCACCACAGAGGACTACATTGCAGACAGTCACCATCTTGGACTACTCCGGGAACACTCCCTAGAAGTTTCTACAGGATCTACTCCTACCCTCCCCATTCTGCTGACATGACATGGATACAGCATATGTGCTAATGAAGTCTTGGGCAAACTTAAATGTTGGTTTTATGACGATGGTAACCAGCGTTACAGTTCCTCCTCAGGGAAACATAAATGTCTGTACTAGATTTTGTGGAATAGTTTTTGAAACATTCCACTAAAAACAACAACTTTGAAGTCAAAGTCAAGGGGTCGCCTAGGTCAGTAGGATTCATATCCAGGAGGACATTAATGTCTGTACAAAATTTCAGCTCTCATGAACACAGGAGCTGGAGGGGTGGAGGCGATGCACAGTACTGAAATGATAGAACAACAGAAACACCATCAAACCATAACATAAAGAATATAATGCAGCGTCGTACAGTATATTGCAGTATATGGCCATAGCAGCTGAAATGTGGTGTCCAGTAACACAGCTAGTTTTGGTCATTTTGTTTACACAGCAACATCTCTTCAAAGTTGCCTACCATAAACTGCTACTGATCATAAGCTACAGACCAAAAAGGCTGTATCAGCAAAACCATTGAGTGCATTGAATTGAGGAGGTTTCATTTTACTGTTTATGGAATCACCTTTCATTTGAAAGCAGAAGCCTGGGTTATTTTTAGTTACTTAGACTTTTCAAAAAAGTAACAATTTGCATGCGCAGCTCTCTGACACAACCTCATCGTTTAAAAAAATTTCCCAAATATAGTTTTTTCTGCAGAACTGTTTTACTAGCTTGCTCATTTCACCCTGTAAAGCTTACCTCTCCGCACTATGGACAAGAAGGGAACACGATTTGTACTAGACCAGGCTGGGAGTGACTGCTTGTCAGAACTGGTTGGCTAGTTGGGGATTTAGAGGAGAGGAGACGCTGAACTAAGATGTTGCTCAAGGGTTCTCTGTGCTATTGAAGGCAATGTATAGTGTTGAGCGGGACAGTGACTGTACTAACTGTATTCATATCTGTCTCTGTGAGTTACATAAGCCAGAGCAGGGGAGAGCAGCTGAGCCGGTCGGTGCAGAAGCCACAGTACACTGGAGAAATATAATAACCACAGAGGCACTGAGGAGTGTGTGAAAAGGGCTGCGTTGAATGATACTGCTCTTTGCAGACTAGTAGCAGCAAGGGGACAATGTGTTTTAGCTTTATTTCGCACCAGGACATACTCACAGAAAGGGCAGTGTATTACAACTCAACCGGTGTTGAGAGTAAATTTCACAGGAGGTTATGTATCAGTGTTATAATTCCCTGACAGCCACACACATGCTCATTACTTAGAGGGAATATTGCATCTACCAGTCAGAGCAGGTAATTGCTGTGATATATCTTTCACTCGTGTCTCCTGGCAAAAGTGACCTTTGAACAGTGAGCGTATTAGAAAGGATTGGTGAGATCAGCATATTCACCCAGAGCAGCCCAAGAAATTAACACAACAGTCTAAATGCTCTGTTTAATGACATGACCTTTATAAAGCAAATGTAACATCAGATCTCTCTTGTTAAGGAATTTATCCTCACTGTATGAAAATGTTTCTATGCAGGAAACCACTACGAAAAGAAGAGAACGGGACAAGTCGTGGGGAATATGCCATGAGTATCCGTAACAAGAAGGCCACGGGTACGAACAACACTGTGGTATAGACTGTCTCCTGGTAGATATAGGAAGTGATATCACCATCACCTTCTCTCAGCTGTCCCCAAACACAACAAATCCCTTCTCACCCAAAAAGCAACATGGTTTTACCCGAGGTTATCAAATAGGTAAAGCTTCTCTTTTTGCTTGGCACAGGGCCCGGACTGTGAACACCTTCAGCTCAAAAAGAGCTGTATAAGATGGAAGGTTAAAAAAATCATGGCCAAAAGGAGGAAAAGAAAGATCCATAAACCCCTGTGGTGTCAAAAGTGGCACAGCAGGCTGAACATTGTGCTCTTAGTAACAGCATGTGTTGCTGACAGGCTGGTTGGCTGCTGGCTGGAGAGGGACTGTCTGCCAGTCTGCCGCAGATCCAGGCCTCACTCACTGTTGATATCTGCAGTGGAACAACAGACTATACAACAGCCCTGCAGTCTCATGGGCGACCAGACAGGACAGCTCATCAGACACCAATAAATAAAATGCATGCAGTTTTTTTAGAGAATGCAACATTTTTTATATTCTAATCCTCACACTGTCCATCTTTTGTTCTCCGTTTCTGAGACAGATGCTTTGTGAGAGGCATGATGTTACTGTCGGCCCTGGCTCTGAGAGATGGATTCATCTGACTATGCAATTTAATGAAATCCATATAAAACAGAGGAGCAATGACATCAGCGTGGGGCGCTGTGGTTATTTTACCATGCCAAAATTGCCACTGAAGACTCAGTTTAATATCATTCAGTCATTGATCTATTTATTTGTTGTATTTATTTATATATCTGCCTTTGGATTTATTTTTCTACTTAAAAGGAAAAAACTGTCTTGTAAGTTACTTTCATCTTGGTAAAGCGTGAACACCATCATGAGTCCATTTGATTTAGTTCTGTTTTTTAGGTGAATAATGTATAAATCATATCATTCATTTGTGATGCTCCAATGCTTTAAGCCTGCTGTCAGTTTGTTAAGACACTGATGCAGAAAACACGCTTGCTCTGCAAACAGTTTTGGCATCTGTTGTTTTGTCTCTGGGTGTTTGATACGCTTTTCTCTGATTCCCTGAGAGTTCAGCTAAAAAAGTTCAGGGGTCTCTATGATGTGCCATGTGATTGTGTGTTTTTACAAACATTATTTCTGTGCTGCATCAAAAGGCAGGCCCTGTATTAGATTTGTTAAATGTACTATCGTCAGGTTAAATCTTGTTGAGTCTTGGGCATCAGCTCGATGCTTTCAGCCATGTTTTGTTTGGATTTGACAATCTTCAGTTTTCTATCTGTCAGGCAGGGCTTAGCCCATTACTATAGAAACAGGGGGCATGAGCCCTGGGCTGACCCTGTGACTGGTGAGAGACAGGAGACTTAACCAATAGCCAGAGATCAGGTTGCACAGCGGATGGCCTCAGCAGGGATGTGTGTGACTCAGTGCTGTCACAGGCATCCTCCACATCTCCCCCTGGAAAAACACAACTGAGCTGAACTGGAGCATCACTCAACGCTGTTCTGCTTTTTTACAATAAATCTGAGCGTATCTGTGAACGCATGTGTGTGCGTGCTTGAGTGTGTGTGTGTGTGTGTGTGTGTGTCTGAGAGTGAGCATGCAGATGAGTGTTCTCACTGAGAGTGGGCTGTGCTCTGTGGCTGTCAGTTAAGTATAGATTTTGGCTAAACTGTGGACATTTGAAAACACATGCTTGCATTTAAACATGCACAGGTATCAGTTAACAGTATATCCCCCATATACCTATAAGAGAGAAGCAATGAATGCATGAATGTAAATATCGATATTTAAATATCTGCCTTCTGGACTGTTAATTCATGTACAGTGTAACAGAACATATGTTTATACATAGTAAAACTTAAAACAATGTGCTACCATTTAGAATTGTGTCAGTGTTGTCATGTTGATGGAGCAAGCCATTAATGTACATATAGCAATCAGTAGGACATACACAATTTATGCATTATACCAAACAGACGTGCATAAGTCGAGTTCATTGCTGAGTTTTTCAGTTGTAAATAAACTGTACATAACAGATCTACAGTCTATTGTGTTTAAAGAAATACAGTATATGTGTAGATTTTTCAAATCTGTTATGATGTGATGACAAACTGCGGCATATGGGGCAAAGGTGATAGTTATTTTAGCCCATGGCCATCCTGTCTGCACTGTGCTGTCGTGTGTCATTCATGTCTTGAGCAGAGCTGTACTGTCCGTGATCTCCTGTCCCCCACCAAAAAAATTCCCTCCACCCCACCATGGATGACATGCTCTCAGTCTGTCCCACACAGTGCATCTTTAATGAGCTCTAATGTATTGCGCTCCGGGGGGTTAATGACATAAATGAGAAAATGTATAGATCACATATTGTGTTCACTCTGGGCTTAATTAATAATAATGTCATACAAAAATTCATGGGGTTGAGTGTGAAAGATTTCTGCAGCTGCAGCAAGAAAATAGTTTGCTATAATGAAAGAGGGTTTCAGAAGGCAACAGAACACCTCTGTGAGAGGTTGCACTTTTACATTATATCATACACACATGCTCCCCTTTCTGTTTTAATTTGCACATTATCTGCTTACTGAAGCTAATTATGTGAAACACGTGCAAACCTGTGCTATACAGGCTGATGCAGAAGAGCCCTGAAGACCAATGTCAATGAAATATGTTGTGAATGAGGGACCATAGAGTACTTTGTCTTCCCTGCTTAAGATATGCCACTTGATGGTAATACCACTGGACACGGAGCAATTTAAACATTCATGCATTGTCCAGCCATGCACTGTAGATTTTACTGTCATAAAAGCAATGTGACAGCACTTGGCAGGAGGACCGGGGACCGTCACTGTCTGAACAGGCTTTACGAGGCTTTCAGAAAGGTTTTCCAGAGAACAAAAAGGCTGCTGATATACAGATTCTTTAAAATTAGGGTTCTTGAAATTGTTTCTGTACACAGCTGCTGGTGAGATTCATTGGACGCAGCTTGCAAGAGAGTACCTCTCTCAACCTGCTCTTTAATCAAGGCATGTCATCAATGCACACACCTGGTCTAGTGTGTATGTGTGTGTGCATATGAGAGCTGACACAGTCCTTTCAAAGCTGACCTTCACAATTTGTGAAGACCCACTCACATGCTTTGTGCCTGAGAGGCCTTTGGTCAGTGTTAATTACCCTCAGTAACTCCAGCTCCCAGCTCATCAGGTCAGTGCTCCCATATGGTCCTCCAGGAGGCAGCAGGCAGGCAGGGGCAGGGAAAGTGCTGGATACCTGTGGGACACTGATTACATAAGCTTCTGCTAATGAGCCAGGTTCTTTCAAAAAAGGGATACAAGTACAAATGATCACAACAGTAGCAGCGGCTGACAGATGCAACCTCAGTGCAAGGGGGACTTGATTAAACACACACATCAATGCACACACAGGGACACGTGTACACCTGCATCCAGCATGACTTTAATATACATTCACACTGATAGAGGCACACAACAGGAGACAGGCTTTTTGATGAGCCACAACTAGAGGTTGATGAGAAGGGGCACTGCAACCTGATTCAGCTAGCTTGAGGTCACAGGGGAATGTATGTGTGTTCATTGCATAGTGTGACATTATGCTAGTGACTCATTTGCCACACTTCTCTCAGCATGTGCCACATGTAGTGCCTAACAAGCACATTTTTAAAAAATGTAATCTGGCGTATTTTTTTTTTTCAGATAAACCGATTTCTACTTGCAATACACATGTATATCATCAGATCTAATTTATCTTGAAGCTTGATAATGAAACCCCTGCAGAAGTGAAGATCAAACAAAGATTAATGTGCTGCTCGGCTCTCTGGCCCTGCTGTCATGTCATCTGTTATTCTCAGACGAGCTTCGCCATAATGCTGTTAGACCTCACAACAATGTTTAATCACTATAAACCATATTAGGCCAAAGGTAATTGTGTTTCCTTGGTATATGTATGAGCCAATCTGTTTCGTTGCTGCCAACAAAGTGGGGAATAGAGGGGGATGATGGAGGAGGGGGGCTTTTGACGTCTGGCTCCACCTTATCGAGTTACAAAGCTGCTGCTGCAAGTCAGATCAGCCCCTGATTGAGCTGAACTCTGATGGCAAAAGGCAGCATGACTGACAGTCTGACAAGGATCTCAGACAGGAGCTGGGTAAATGCATGTCATGTTATTTTCCAGGAGACACCTGAGGTTCAGTTTATCATCCAGAAGAGTAAACAACAGAGCGAATTTTATCGCTCTGCCATCTGAATTATGATAAACCGGACATTTTGCACATCAGTCGTGACAGTAAAGGGCAGTAAATGTCACATTTGAATTTTGAAGGTGTCGGCAATTCATATGAAATGACAAAGTGTCTCAGTGTTTAGAAAAACTTGGACTTTTATTATCCAGCTTGCAACCAAGCAACTTAAAAAGTAAAGAATGTAACAGAGTGAGAATATCTAAAATTCAACAAGCATTTGCTGTTTCAGAGCCTCACTATAATACTATATACGTTCTCTTAGTCATCTACTGACACTTCATATCTGTTGAATACAACAGTTAGGCAGCTGATACAATTATCCCACACAAGCCTACCAAACCTTTAATTATCTCTTCCAATGCTAGTACTTTAAAATACCATAGATTTGCTGTAGATATACAGGTATTATACTAAAAGTGCTGAAAAATATTCAGTTCAAAAGAATCCCACACAGCATCAGGTTACATAAGAGTCCTTTGTTTTTGGTCAGAGCAGATGCATGCATGTCTGAGGACCCAGATGACCCCGAGGTGTCCACAGAGCGAGTCACATGGGGTAGAACTGTGAGGCGGCCTCCGACGACTGAATCTCCACTTGAGCCATTTTAAACTGGGTGCACTGCAGCCATTTGCGCAAGGCGAACGGAGGGGCTGCGGACGTCGGGCCCTGCAGACACTGGTGGTTCACCCTGTTCTGGATGGCCTGGAGACGCAGCTGCAACCCTGCAGAGAGATGCTGATGAAAGAAGGAAGAGAAGGTGACAACATTTTAGTTTGAAATCACGGTCAAGAGTCAGTATTTACCTTCTTGATATTAATTAGCATGAATCGTTTTAGAAAATTCTTTTAAAGCCTTACCTTAAGGTTTGACTGAATCATGGGCAGCCACATAGGAATTAGCTAAAGGGGGAAAAGAAATGGATAAGTTGTGTGTTAGCCTACTTGTTAAGTTAATCAAATATTATTCAGATAGAAAAAATACTACAGTTACTGTATAGCACACCTTGACAAAGATGGTTGAGTTGCACTCCTGCAAAGCCTCCATCAAACTAATGACATGAAGACACACCATCTCTACCATCTGGCAAAAAAATATCACTAATGTCAAACTCCTGATTTCTTCACCAAATAAAGCATTAAGTTGATTCATTAAGTAAAAACACCACTGTAGATCTGTTGGAAATGCACTCACCACTTTATTGTGGGCCATGAGCTGCAGGATGCTGGGTGTAACCCGACTCCAGAACTCTAGGCCAGTGAGTATGGCACTGGAGGAAAACTCTGTCTGGTTCTGGTTCTGCAGGGATGGAGCAGCAGCTGCCTGCTCACAGTAGATTGTCCACAGCTGGGCGAACATGAAGGCATGGAACAAGGAGCACATGTGCAGCACGGACGTCTGTCAATGCAGACCAAAAACATAAAAGCTAGTGAGGTTGCGGATCCTAATAACACATCTGAGAATCAGAATCAGAATCTGCTTTATTGGCCAGGTGTGACGAACACACGAGGAATTTGACTCTGGTACCTGGGGTCTCAATGTGCATGTACATATCCCCATGCAAGGGGCAAGTAAACAGTAAACCAACATAAGGTTGTGTAATATAACAAAATAAGCAGTATTAACAAGCAACAAACAGTGCAAACAATGCAAAATAAGCATTCTAAACAGGCAGTAAACGATGCAGACAAAGGAATGCTCATTGAAATGAGATAATAGGAATAAAATAGAGTACTTAAAAAAATAGAGACCTGTACAGATCTGTATAATCTGTACAATGTATATTTACAGGTATTTACAGGTATCTTAGGTGAGATCAACAGAAGGGATATTCTGCCACACCTTGGACTGCTCTGGGAAGCCAATGAGGATGACAATAAGATGATCTGCGATGTGAGAACCAGCATCTAGAGGGATGGGCATGCAAGAGGTAGAGCCCTGGTGCAGAGCACAGTGTGTCAGGGAGCCCAGAAGAAGCCAGGACAACTGGCGGATGTGAGACACGCACTCAATGAATTCTTTTGGCCTGCAGAGAAAAGAGCAGAAATTCTGTTTTACTAATCACTGCACATATATCCTTAGCAATACTATACTCATATTTCTCAGAATTACATGCAGTGCTTCACCATTAGCTAATATTTAAAGGGCCAATTCAATCAAATGATTTTAAAAAATTAGTAAATAAAACATTTTACCACGTTTCAGGTGGTATATATTCAATAAGATAGTTTTGGTTATCTGTGCAGGTTTTTGTGTCTGAGATTTCTGCCTGCACTATAAAAAAGCCAAAACTTTCCTTAAGGCTAGATACACCTGAAAAAAATATCATTCACTGTGTGTGATTTAGGTGAACTGACCCTTTAAGTCACTTAATAATTACTGAACTTGTCTGTAAATGTTTTTTTTTCCCATTTTTACCCTTGCTGCATTGTAGATGGTGGATGATAGAGCCAGGGAAGATAGCGGACCACAGCTTTGTTATCACGGTGATTTCCTTTGGTGATCTCCATGGCAGCGATCTGTGCCAAGCCCACTTTCAGGTTCCCTCCTAAAGTGTCCTCATGTAGTGGCTGACAACAAGCCTTCATATGGCTCTGTATAATAGATTTGGAGTAAGAATAAAAAAGCATGCTGTATAATGCATGTTGTGACCCTTGTGAAGAGCAAGACTTACTTTAAGTTTGGTTAGCGTGTGCATATCTGCAATGAAGTCCAGGAGCTCACTTATGTATTGCCTCATGCATTCCATCGCTGCTGTTGTGCACTGTTGAGTACAAAAACAGTTTATCCTTTAGGAGCAATCACAATGGGGTCGGTCTTTATTTCCTGCTGTTTTACTAGGCTGACTTTAATAAGATCCAAACACTCTGTCTTACCCCCGGCAGCGCTGAGATCATGTGCTTTTGGATGATGGTGGATTCTGCTAGTCGTGTACCAATATCTGCACAAACAAACTGCCAAATTCCACAACACATTTTTTAGTACTGCATTTAGAATAAAACGCTGTGATGTATTTGGCTAAAGTAAACTCTTTTTTTTTTTTTTTTTTTTTACCTGGACCAGCAGTAACAAGTTTGTGTCAGGCAAAGGAGACTTGAACTTCAGAGCCTGCAGAAGCTCTAACACCACAATGCGGGACATGTAGAACTTGTCTCTCTCCTGGATGTGAGGAAAGGGAGAGTGGAGTAAATGTACTGATGCAGCAAGACCACTTTTTTTCTATTATCACGCTCGCTTACTCATGCTGCAAGGAGAGCATAAACTCTGTAGCCTGAATAAAGGGAGAAGGACAGGCAGTGAGAGGACAGGGAGGGGAGGCAGGGAGACAGGGAATAGACAGAGAATAGTGAAGCTGAGGAGTAGATTTAGGCCAGTCAAGATCTCTCCTCCCAGAGTCCCAGACAGCTCAGATGTGGCTGTCAGGCTGCCTTCTCCCTCCCTGAGGACAGGCTGCTCTCTTTGTTCATCCCTTCCACACAAAGCTCAGCTGCCTGTTTACAAACCACACTGTCATCTTCTGGCTTCCACTTTGCCTCTCTCTTTCTCTATGCAGTCATGTATTTTTTATGTTTGGTGCACACACACTGCCCATCATTTGCTACAGAATGCAGAGTTGCTCCTGACATTTCTCAATGTGTGGCTTGTTAATGTGAGTACCTGTACACAACACTCTCATAATTAAAAGTTAATGGAGCATATCCATTTGGGAAATAGTAAATCATAGACTGTTCTTAAGCTGGAGGGCCCAGATGCATTTGGCACAGTTCAACCGTGACAAATGGTGCACAGAGTAACTAACTTCAGTAGGTTTAGAAAGCCTGATTTCATGTCCTTAAAACCTCACCTCCAAAGGTGACAGAACTGGCTGAAAAATCCTCCCTGCGCTTCCCAGAAACCTCACCTTGCCATAAAACAACTGCACAGGACAGGTTCCAAAAGCAATTGCTCATAGTGCCTCTTGGTTTTGAAAAGCGGATATTATACGGTGAGGAATTAAAGAGGGTGTAGAAAATCAATACTGCAGGAGACATAAACCATGCAGCACTGACAGTGGTGGAGGACCAAGGACCCATCTGGCCGAACAGTGCAGACAGCGCTGGCTCCATCCCTGTCTGAGACAGCCACTCAGAAACACACTATACATCCTCAGCCATACCACAACTACTAATCATGCTAATCAATACTGCCTGATTGCCTATTTAATCATCTGTGACATATGGCCACATTTCTGGCAGACTGGGGAGTGAGGAAAGTAGGTGTGGCACCAAAAGAGTAATGAGTGAGAGGCCTGCAAACAGGAGCTCAACATTTTAAACACTGCAGGTTAGTTTAAAAGGTTTAACTCTCTCACACCCAACAAAATACTGGTCCGCATGTTTTATTCCTACATAAAAAGCTCTCTATACAGTGTAAACACACTCAAAAGTACCTTGTTGAAGGCTTTGTAACACAGCCCACATAGCTCTACGAGGTAGGAGAGACCGAACAGGCCATACTGGATCACAAAGCTCAGCAGCTTGGAGAAGGGCTCCAGGAGGCTCTGCATCATTGAGGAAGAAGATGAAAATTTTAATATTTAAAACCAAGATTTGAACAAACCAGTGAATTACATTTTGCTCTGAGTTTACCCGAGTTGCGTTTATAGTTGGGATTTTCAGTAGACAAATGATAATCCTCAAGCTGGGATCCATGGGGCACTAATAAGACACAAATTGCAAAGAATAGCAAACTCCAAGTATGTTCAATAGTGTAAACAATGGAAAATATTGCATGGTGAATGTCCATAATCCTATTGTCTGCAGCAATAAATTGATTAGAATACCTAATTTCACCTTCAAGTTCAAAAGTGCCAGAGTCATATCTATCATAATTTTAAGACTCCGTCCTATTGAACCCGACAAGGGCACAGTTAGATGCTTTTTCCTCAAGCCATAATCATATCAAACCATACCAGACCATGACTAAATGGCCCAAAGAGTCAATATTTACCTTCAGAGGAAGCACAGAGGGCAGTTTTGTGAGGAAGGTCTGGAATTGGTTGCAGATAGTTGTCCACAGGTTGCTAGGAGAGTCCATGGGGAGTGCCTCCATGAAGGAGGCGATGTTGTCCAGGCAGTGCAGCATTGTGCCCCCTGCTGGCAGACTCTTCTTGTTATTCAGACCCTGGAGGGCACAGATGCATAAAACAGAACAGACTTATGCAATAACATTCTGAAGATGTTTCCTTTTAGCTGATAATTCAGTCCTGATCAGTCATAATGCTCATGATGAGAGAAGTAGATTTAGGACATTGAAGGACAAATGACTGCTTGGATGAGCCATGCATCAGGGGCTTCTTATCTGCGACCTTTACTTTACATTAACAATAAACTGGTTCTGTGACTTTCAAGTTTTCAAGGCTTTTTTGAAAACCCCAGTAATTTGTTGTTTTAGACAGGCTTGAGCTCTATATGTAGCTGAAACCATAAAAGCTACTGCTTTGACAAGAGCGCCTCCTGCTGGTTAAATAACACAACACAGATACATGATGAAAAAACATCCCACCTCAAGTAGCATGTTGAGAGCAGCAATGGAACTCAACTCATTGAAATCTATCAGCGAAGATGCAAGTGTTCGCAGAAAACTTCCATCTGCAAAAGAATGAAAGACAACCATAAAAAAATGAAGGTGACAGTATACCCAGTAGTGTTATCATTATGAAAAATAGATGCAATAAAATATGCATCAAATATAGGTAAGAGGAATGAACAGGTAAGACATGGTGTAAGTCCCTGTAGGAACAGCTGGTACATTTTATTAGGCAGTATGAGCAGACCTTTGATGTTACTCTGGAAGAGCTGGGGCAAGATGCCATTGGGTGCCAGCTGGTGAAGCATACAGCGCAGGAACTGCTTGGCTACACCCGCTACATTCCCTGGGATCAATGTACTGCAAAACATCACATGTCTGTGTTGGACAGGTGGCTACACCTCATATTTTTTTATTAAACTCATCTATAAGCTCAGTGATTATTTAAGCATACTGCTGTGATAACTTTAATGTCTCATACCTTTCAGCTTGTCCAGAAAAATTGGCACTAGACGCCAACCTGAAAGAAGTTAAAGCAGTGGATTAGGACTTGAGGATGAATTATGCATGTATTCTAAGGGTGAGTTATGAAACTTCATTTAATGGTGAAGTGCTGTGTGGATGTAGGTTGCAGGAACGGTTAGTGGAGTGGCTGTACCTGCCCACAGACTGCATGATGTCAAGAAGCATCGGAGCTGCCAAATCAGGGCTGAGGTGGATGAACATGGAAAGAACCACCACTGCAAGGCTGAGAGTCTCCTCGTCATATTCCTCCAGCACAGCCGCACAGTCCCGACATCTGGAACAGCACACAGAATTATAGTTTTAATCATTAAAGACACTTATTTCAAGACATGCGGCTAACGGTTGACTGATTGACCTGTCAGACATGGCAGTAGGCTGCTCATCGATGAACTCCTCAGGTGCAGGGACAAACATGCTGACTGTGCTTGGTGCAGAGAGGAGACTGGTTTTTGTAGGACCTACAGAGGAAGAATATTAGTGGGAAATTTTAAAAAGCTTGCTTTAATTAGGTGAGATTAATAAGGAATAACATATTGTTTTTGTTTTTGAAAGATATCTTTTTAAGCTTTCTTCTTAGCGCACTAGTCATTATCTAACCATTTCAAAGAGACGTTTCATTAGTGTGTCCTGGTTTTAAAGATGACAATGATAAAAATGTAACAATTACTTAATAATAACAAATAATTAATCAATCTCGCTAAATCTGTCCAAAATGTATATTTTTCATTATTGTATTTGCCCAGTTTGATTTCAGTAACTTCAATAAATGTTTCATTCTGCTGACTTTATTTCTGTTTTCTTATTTGCCTTATATGTCACTTTAGTCATATACCACCTTAAGCGTTCATCGTGGAACAAAGGAAACTCTAAAGTGACCAACCTGCCTCCCAGGTGCTGATGTTGTGTGGAGCGCTGGACTGATGCTCCAATTGTCTCTTCATTAGCTGGCTCATGGTCAGAGCTCCCAGAGAACCTCGCTTCACCTGACGGTACTGTGCTAAATGTCAGACACAGAAAACAACACCTGAGTTAGAACAGCCTAAACTGATTTCAGCTTTACCAACAGGAAGAGTGTGTATGATTCCAGGGGATTAGGGACGACGCTCACATAAAAATGAGATGGTTAATGTCAATTATATTATATCAGACACAGATTTAAGCCCAGTCTTCTGAATAATTACATCTAAACAATATTTTAGAGTGAAATTAAAATTAATGTATAATAAAAAATAAATACAAAGTATTTTTATGTGCTGTTTGTTTGGTTTTCTTAATACAGTGTCAAATTATATTATACAATATTTATTCCAGAATTTAATGTAACATTTCAAAAAGTTCGTTTGCAAAGAGAAATACAAAAACTACATTTCATATATTGGACTGCACACAATATGTAAAAATATGAAATATTAAGGTTTTTGTTATGACAACCACAACAGTCAGTTTTACTGAAGTTCATAAAGAGATTACATATTAAAGTATTTGTATCCTACTTGATACTGAAGAGCGATGGCTTGTTTCAGGCATAGCAGCTTCAAGCGTTGGGGCTGAGGCAGATTCTCGTGGCTTTTCCAGTGTAGACAGAACTTTGTGATCTGCAAGGCAATATGGGTGGATCATGGGCCGGGTTTTGGCATCAGTATATATGCCGTTATATGCTAGCGGTTATTCCGTTATAATAAGTAATAATATTGCATAAATGTCAATCATCAGGGGAAGTCTGCAATTGTTATGGTCTCTTTAGTGCTAATTTAATTAGAATTTATGTATAGTTTAGTGATTTGTTACATATTATTATTACATTATTTAATATCATTATATTTTAAGTGCACACTTTAAAAACACGTAGGTTTATTATGACTATTATGTATAGGCATTGTATAAACCGTCTCAAAACCTTCTCAAATCTTAGATTTCATCTGAAAATATTTTGATGAGCAGATCATTAGTGAGCAGTGATTACTTCTAATCGGAGGTGTTTATCTATCCTTCCCTCTTACCAGTTTCAGCTGTCTGCTCACCACCCAGCTTGTCGAACGTGTGGAAGGAGATATCCAGGTATTCCCTCTGGATAGCGCTGACAGCTATCTTCCTCTGCTTTCGTTGTCGGGGAACAATCTGAATTTTAAACTCTGCCTCATCATTGTCTTCATTGTCAGGCTTGGGCTCGCTGTCCACGTCATCACCCATATCATCATCCTCTTCATCATCACCGTCCTCCTCCTCTTCGTCATTACTGTTATTTTTGTTTTTCTCTGGTGAGGAAGGAGACTCTGCTTTGTCTTCTGGGATGTCCAAGAAGACGGTCCTGCCAGAGGGGCTTGTCCCAGGTCCCATTCCGGTTTTCAGATCTTCAGGGGCCACAAATGTATCATCTAATGAGGTGTCAGGAACATGTGGGGTTTTCCTCAGCAGGTCTCTCTTCTGCTTCAGGGTCATGGGGCTTTCATTGCCAACATTTTCCGGCCGATCAGGAAGATCCAGAGAAGTGCTGGGAGTCATGCACTTTGGCTTCTTTTCTGTTAATGATTGCGGTGAGTTTGCCTCCCTCACCAAAAGATCAGGGGTGTTTTTGTCACTGGAGCAGTCCTCTACGCTCACCTGAACTACCGGAGACAGTCTTAAGGTGTTACTGCTGGTAGGGGAAGCAGAGACCTTTGGACTCCCACTGAACTTGAAGCCTATGATGGTGTTAAGGTCAAATTCTTCATCGCTCTCCACAATTCTCAAAGGAGGCAGTGGTTCAAACACTAAGGAGTCACTGTCAGACATGGAGAGCAGGGAGTGTTTTTCTGGAATGGACGTGCAGTCAGAGGAGAGGTCAATGAGGTCTTGATCCTCCTTCTCCTGAATTGATCCCACAAGGGATCCCTGATCCAACTTGTCTTCAAAGGTCTCCATGCAGCTTAGGCGGACCTCTGGGATGACAGGTTTGGAAATGTCGGACTGGCCGCCCCGAGAACCTCGCCGATTCACAGGATCGCTGCCCTCCACCCGAACTGAAAAGCCATCTGAGGATCCTTTACCATGATACCTACTGTGGGACATTACCGATGATGGGGGAAGGACCACTGGGGGCACATGCATTTCACAGTGATCAATGCATGACTTGCGCCTGTGTTCATCCAGATTGAAGAGGATGGAATCTGTGTTAGAAATGTCCAGAGACTTCTGCTTGTGCATGGCCTGCAGCCGCTTCTTCCTGGTGCTCTCCTCCCTCACACAGTGCAGGATGCTGTCCTGAAGGGCGCTGGCTTCGCGGTACTCTGACAGCTCAATTTCACCTGATACACAGAAGAAAAGTGAACTTTTATTCTTTGTGAAAGCAACATGATTCATTCAAGATGCTGTAATACTACTGTACACTTGACATTGAAAGCCTGTGCTTCTTACTTCTCTTGGCATTCAGCTCTACTGGCTGGTACTTGACTGACTTGCTGCCACCAATCCTCTTTAGGCGGGCAAAGAAGGTCTGTGACTCCTTATTAGCAGCACCAGTTGGTGTGTCATGAACATCTGACTCATCAAATACACTGTCCTCTTCTAAAATGGAGAAAAGTATGGAGTATGAACATCAGCCCTCCATTTATGCAGCACATAGAACACTGAAATCTGACAGAGGATGGGGTCACTTTCCTCCTACACTGTCAGCTACCAGGTATAGTGAGACAGGACGGGGACAGCATTTTGGTTTCTTCCAAAAAATATTTAAAATATTTTTCACAATCAGCAAATATTTTAAAATTCAATGAATTCTCTTCTCAGTTGCCAAAATGTTAATGTCATGGGTACACACACTAGTACACACAATCAACTAATATATGTAGGTAATGTAATTTTACTTTATGTGCCCTATTCAGTAAATTTGAGCCTCCTGCCAAGATAAGCAAAATTCTTCATCTTGCTTCACCTTTTTCCTTCTCGCTGTAGCGGCTCATGTTGGAGTTGTCGCTGTAGAGGGGTCCTGCTGTGGCATGGGGACGACAGCTGTGATACTGGGCATTCAGTGTGTTGATGGTGATGTGGATCAGATGGAGGACCACTTTACTGCCATCCATGTCTCTATATGGGTACTGTATAATGTATATTTTATTTGTAATTCATACTGTACATCACATTATAAATCACAAAATAAACAACAATATGTAACAGCAAGATTCAGCAATTGATTAGTGGCGAAAAAATATATTATTCGGGAGAGTGAATGAATAAATAAATAAATTCCTACTGGCACACAGTAATTTAAAGGGTACCTTATAGAGAATGACCAGCAGGGCTTTGAGCCACATCTGTCTAATGTGTGGCCTCAGGGCCCAAAGAGAGCATCGAGGTGGCTGCTGGAAATAATGTCTCAGCTGTGGACACGTGCAGTACTTCAACACCTGGACCACCAAAGGGAGCAGCTGCTTCCCCAGACTAATATTATAGTCCATCACCTGAATGCAATAACATTTATTTCCATTAGTATGTCAGGTCTACAAGTACTTTCCTCACAACATACCACTAAACACTATCAGTGCATCAACAAACACAGAACATCAAATTGATAATAGGATGATGTGTTAGTCACTTGTGCAATTCCAGCAATGAAGGCATTGAAGCAGGTGGAGGTGCGCATCTTCTGAGGCGCGATCATGAAGCAGCCCTCCTGTTGGTCATATCCCAGCAGCACATACAGGTGACGCTTTACAGTGTTGAAAGCCTTGGCACTGCCGATGTCAGTCTCAGCGCTGCTTTGGTCTTTGGCCATAAATTTCATGAGCACCATGATCAGCTGGTGAACAGTCTGGTGATCTATGCCAGCATCCTCAGGGAGCAGGTCTCTGATGATGGTGTCTTCCTCAGGAGATGGGGTCTGGCCTACAAGATGGACTGAAAAATCAGGGTTAAAGTGTGGGAGGAAATGTGCTGCAGATAGGGGAGAAAATGGGGGAGAGGGAAAGGTGCAGGAGCAGGAGATGTAGCAACACAAAGCTTGGGGGTGTCAAATAATACTCTCCACTTTTCTGTCAGGACAGGGGTACGTAACATCATGCAGTACATCACTGGAACATGTTCTTGGGATATATAAATGGGTAAACACAAAAAATGACCAAGACTGTTTTTCTTTTCAATCTCCCCAGTGTTGTAATCAGTGAAAGCCTGAAGGCAGGATAAAAACAATGAGCGTCACATTCAAGTAAGCATTTTTTTTCATGTGTCATTTCATATTTCCAGATGTAAGATTTATTAATAGTGGCACTGCACTTTTCCTCCAATGTGATGTGATTATGATTTGGGTTGTTATTTACCTGGCAGGACTTTCTCTATCATATCTCCCAGTGTAGGGGCAGACTGCTCTTGCCTCGTAAGTCTTAGGGCTAAAAACCACATTCAAAGAACACAATTTAGGAGAATGTACAGGGAAGGCAGCACAGGATACATGTCTGAGCTTCATCGTCAACTGACATATGAGCACGCACACACACAGACAAAACCACACTGTTAGTTAGCTAATTTTATGAAATCCAGTTATTAACAAGGTATTTATTAAGGTATTTTGACTAATCACAAATATCCAACAACCACATCATGTTTTAAACCAACAAAAGTAACTCAGACATCCTTCTGTGCAGAGTAAAATGAATGGCATGGTAGAAGTGGTTGAGAGTAACTAAGTAAAATTACTCAAGTACTTTACCTAAGCAAAATTTTGAGGTGTCTGTACTTTGAGTATGGTCATTTTGTGCTACTTCATATTTTGACTTCTCTGTATCATAAAAGCTAATATTGTACTTTATTTACTAGCTTCTATCTGACTTGATTGATCCCTGATGTGAAAATGCCAAAATACCCAGCAGTACTTCAAATTATAGGCATAAATGAGCTCCACCTTTACCAGCTAGAGCATTAAATGTGAAGTACACAATAATATGTCAATTAATATCATCCAATAATTTAATATATGTTAATGGGAAATGTGTTAGTCCGCATAACGAGTACTTTTACTAAGAATACTTTTGTACTTAAGTAACATTTTGAATGTAGTAATTTTACTTTACACTGTGATATTGTTAGTTTTATTTAAGTAAACAATTTGAGTACTTCCACTACTGCATGGTAGCGAGTTCCTTATTTATTAGCCTAAAATATATTCAGACATTAAAACGAATGAATGTTAGAAATAAACAAGTGAAGAGAGAAACATCAGGAAAAGGGGCCAGACTTTGGGTAAATAGCATTTGCAAATGCAAAGGCATTTGGTTTGACATGTAAGGAATAAACATTGGGTAGTGATATTACAGAAAGAAAGTGTCAGGTTGTTCTCTAAATGCAAATGGACTTAAAATTTATATAAATACATTCAGTAATTGTCTCTGTAATGTCATGTTGGGCACCCCAACATAACATTTAAGACTCACAGGCCTGTGAGTCTTAAACAAAGGCATTTGCAAACACTGTTTGACCAGAAAATGAACAGGTTCAGATTGATCTCCACTACTCACGAAGTCGACTGCTCAGTGACTCAGGGAGTGAAAATGCCCGTTTCGACTCTGTCTGACCTCCCTTCACACTGTCACGGAGGGAACGCACACTCTTCTGCTGATTCCTGGCAAAACGAGCTCGTCGTATCTTCCACATTGCTGCATCGCTGAGGTTGGCTACGTTGGTTCGTACAGCTGTGATGGCTGCCAAAAGAAAGGTCACAAACAAAATGTGGAGTACTATTAGGCTATGATCATGTCATATCAAGAAACATGCAATAGATGTAAAGGAGATGTAGAAATCTAAATAAGGATGCATACTAGTAGTGAAAGGGAACTCCTTGTTGCAGTCCAGGTGTAACTGAGCCTCCAGAGACAATGTTTCAAAACGGTTGACAAAAAACTCCCAGCTAAGTGCAGGAATGTCTTTCTTGAGGAAGTGCAACAGAAGGAGTTTGCTGAGTATTACTGGCCGATCCCTCACAACAGTGTCAAACTGGAAATCCAGGCACAGGCATAACCCCTAGATAATAAACAACGCACACACAAAGAATAAATATACAGACAATTGTGGAAGAAGTTCTCTGATCCCTTACTTAAGTAAAAGCAGCAATAACATAGTGTAAAAGTCCTGCACTGAGAATGTTATTTATGTAAAAGTTCAAAAGTATTAGCATCAAAACATACTTAAAGTACTAAAAGGAAAAGCACTCGTTATGCAGAATGGCACATTTTACATTAATGTATCTCACATGATTTGATTATAATTACTGATGCATTATTGTCTTCATCACATTTAATGTTGCAGCTGGTAAAGGTTCTAGTTTAAACTAGCTTATACAGTATACTTATAATTTTAATTACTGCTGGGTAGCGTGTACATTTTCCACTGGAGATCAGTAAAGTCATGTTTACTGTATACTGTAATTTTTGTATTAATCTAGTTCTGAAAATAATACAGTTTAGTGAACTAAATATATTTGGGTTTTGGGCTGCTGGTGAGATTAACAAGCAACTTGAAGATGTCATCTTTGCCTGTGGGAAACAGTGATGGGCATTTATCACTATTTTCTGACACCACTTCAAACTAGAGCCAAACTATATATACAGTACATTCACCTATGCGTTACTGAGGAATGTGTGCCAGAGTTTGATGTACTTTTTTATTGGTTTTTAAGAAAAGGAATGGCCAGTGATGGTCAAAGGCAATGTGTTCAGATACAGGTGAGTTTTGTGTTAAGAGTTAGCTATAATTTAACACATAGTGCTGTAGAATATTATGAATTACATGAGTCCTAGATATTCACTACTATTTTAGTATATACTGTATGTTGTATAGCTAGCTGTCATTATGCAAAAATCCCAAAACTTCCAAAACATCAATCTCCACAGGAACAAAGACAAGGCTGTAAAATCTAGAAATGAGTATGATAATTTCCAGATACAGTTGCTTCACTCTGAGCTGAATAACTGTGTGAGCAGATCACCTGCAGGGCCGGTCTCTTGATGGTGTCCAGCAGAAGTCTGGCCCGGGTTGCCACAGCAGGGTTAACGTCCTCCACAGAGGCCAGGAAGCAGCAGAAGGCGTGTGCCAGGGAATACTTAAGCAAGTGGTTTTTTGTCACCGCACCAATGTCCAAGAACCGACACAGCACTGCTACCTTCTCAACTGAGAGTTTTCATGAGAATACAGAACGAAGCATCATCAGCGACTGACAACAGACAGGACACACAATACAAAAAAGAGGCAACAGATGTCCTGCAGTAATTATGACAGTACAATAAACAGACCCAGCTATGAGGTCATAGATGGAGATTGTTAAGATTTAAATTCTATTAAATATGTTCTGGTTTTGATTAAATGTCAATTTCTGAAGCATAATACACACAAAGGATATCTCACTGCTTATCTGTTTTACAAGTGTAAATGTAAGATTTAAATTTGTAGTATATAATAATCGCAAGTTATTGTGTTCACATTGTGGAAGAAATAAGAATACAGTCTGCTCCTAAAAAAATACTGTTGCATTGGTGATGGCTTTATTTGTCATGACTCAGATTTACATCTAATATTAGACGCTTTATTCTGAAATCAATAACCGCTCACCCACTCTGTGCTGACTGGCAGCACCTAGTCCTGACCACTAGATGTCAGTGTGGTAGTAAACAGATTCCCTGTTAGGTTTCAAATACATTTTTTGTCTGATTTATGCCCAAAACTATACAATTATCTGTTTTAAAACTATGAACAACAGGATAAACGAACATCATTAGAACTTATGGTAAAGACACAGACCATCAGCATTTTAACCTGCCATTGAGACAAATCATTTTACTAGGTGGACAGACGGAATAACTAAAATTCCTTTGTAGTTTAAATACCATTTAGTTAATAATTTATGCCTTCTAAGAAACATTAGCTGCAGCTTTGGGGCTATGGTCACTTAAGTTGCTCTCGTGTTTCTACCTTTAAGATCAGACTTAAAACTTTTATTTTTGATAAAGCTTATAGTTAGGGCTGGCTCAGGTGACCCTGAGCCTTCCCTTAGTTATGCTACTATAGGCCTAGGCTGCTAGGAGTCCCCTCATAATGCTCTGGGTTCCTCTCTGGTCCCCTCCTCTCCTCTCCTCTCTCTCCATGCATCTATATGCCACCATCCCATGTCACTAACTGTGTGTCTCCTCTCTCCCGTAGTGTGTCCTCTCTCTCCCTGTACCTTTCTGCATGTGTCCCTGGCTCTGGAGCTCTATGTTTCTGATGAGCAGTCACCAGCCACATCAACCTGCCCAGTGTTTGATTGTTTGTTGTTGTTTTTGTTGTGTCTTGTTGCTTTTCTTTTCTTTTCTCTCTCCTCTATCTACTCACCCCAACCGGTTGAGGCAGAAGGCTGCCCACCAAGAACTGGGGTCTGTCAGACGTTTCTTCCATTAAAGGGAGTTTTTTCTCCCTGCTGTTGCCAAGTGCATGGTCAAGGGGGGGTTGATGGGTTTTTCCTCTATAATATTAATAGTAAGGTCCAGACCTCACTTTGTAAAGTGTCCTGAAACAACTTTTGTTGTGATTTGGCAATATACATGTAAAATTGAATTGAACTAAATTTTCCATACATCAAATCAGAGGAGCTGGCCTCTGTCACTATTTCAAGTTCACATAGCTCCTCTCTGCCAACCACACACCCAGAAAAAACATATTATATAAGCAAATTGTTAGTAGTCCTCAAACATTTTGTTCATACAACCTTAACCACTTAGCTGGCACATCACTAAAACTAAAAATAAAAACTCCAGGATAATGACCATACTCTGTTCTTTATACCTGCATGTGGCTATGATCCTTTCCAGCAATTGAGGATGTCAGCAGATATCAGAAAAACCACATATTTAACTTCACACATCATATCAAGTCATCTACTTGTCTGTCTCTCACCTGCGTCGAATCGTATTTTCCAGTCTTTGTTGTTGAAGTTTGTGTTGATGAGGGTCCAGAAGATGTCAGCCCCGTGGGATAAAGAGAGAGCATGAAGGAGCTGGGGTACAGCCAGAGAGGCTAACTGGCAAAACTCAGACTTCAACATGGACCACAAACTGAAACACAAATAAATGGCAGTCAGGGATTTGGCTCAATCACCAACCTCAAACAAATATTTTATATCAAAGTTTTCAGTGTTTCTTATGTCATCGTCCCACCTTGGGATGAGCATCTTCTCCTGTACGTAGGCCAGAAACTGGGGGTGATCCTTACGTGCAAGGTACAAACACTCTCCATGGAGACACAGGATCTTCAGACAGTTGAGCATGTTGAACAAGATGTCAGGCTCCTCAAACTTGGACATCTCCTGAATATAAAGTATATCTGTGATTCGTATGTAGACTCGAATAAATCACAAGAAACATTCTTGAATGCCTCCAGTCTATTTGTGCCTCTGTTTTTATATTTGGCTATTAAGAACAAGTACCTGCAGAGTCGTGTATATAAGCTTCAGAGACACCGGAAGCTGCTGATAAGAAAACCTCTTATCAGAGTTGTTTTTCATGGCTGGAAGGAAGAAAGTGGAATGTTAGAAAGAATTCAGCTGCACTATGGTAGAGCGGATAGTTTAATGACTAATACAAAGATGGGTCTGAAACTGATACTGTTCACAAGTCAATACAGTAAATACAAAGCTGGAGACAGTAGCCAGTTAGCTTAGCATAAAGAACGGACATGAGGCAGTGGCTACTTCAGTTTTCAGTTATTGTGTGGAATAAACAAAGAAGATATAATGTGTTAATTAGTGAGCTTCAGAGGTGCTGCTAGGTGGACTTGATAACTGTTTTCCTCCAGGTACCAGTCTTTATGCTGAGCTAAACAAAGCTCGCTTATATATCATACAGACTTTGCCTTGTATGCTTATATATCATACAGACTTTGCCTTGTAGCTTACCTTAGCTAAAGTAAATCTGTACAGTTTCCAAATGCTAAAGTATTTCACAAAAGATCATTGGTATTCTCTGGCAGCCAACAGTTGAATACAATTATTTTTGTTTTGGATGACATACTTAATGGTTGTTATGTAAACAACACTGTACAGAACCGACACACACATGCACTATCAGGAGAGTGGTTACTGGGGTTGTCAGTGTGTGTGCCACTTGGATTGTCTCCTTCCGCACTTCTGTTCTCCACCCCATGGGAGAAATCTGGTTGAGGCATGATCAAAGTTTCCTCCAAACACTCTGTGGGTTCCTGCAGAGGAAATCAGACACTGTCAAATCGTCCTCTTCAAACAGTATGTTTCACATTATCAGTAGTTCATATGATTATACTGTATGTGTCATTCGTTTATTTTTAGCATTACTTTTAAATTCACAAAAATAAAGAGTGACAGATGTGTTTCATGAGCATGCTGTATGTCATCTACAAAATGACTTCAGTCAGGCACACAGTGGTGTTTCTGGCACTGTGGTTTGACACAGGATTACTGCATGGTAAACATTTCAAACCCCTACCAGCATGTTCACATGGTTCATTTATATTTGGTGCATAAAAATTTATGATGTATGTCTCACCACCAGGTGTATCTCTTCCCGGGGGGTCAACCTCTCCAGGAGCTCACAGCCCAGCTGGTAGCACAGGATGCTGGATTGGCACAGACTGCACTCCAGGGCCTTCTCATCCTTCTGGCAGGTATGTGAGCCACCCCATGGGGCCTGGAAGACATTGTTGATGATGCCCACAATATCCTTTCCCAGGCTGCTGTCTAGACCCAGCATCACACCATCGTCCTGGAGCTCCATCTGGGACAGTGGGGCAGATGACCGTAAAAACAGGGGAACAAAAGGTGGCGCATGACACAGATCTCAAGATCCCACCTGTGGGCACTGTTGTCATTGCACTGTGTGTCATTTTTCTCTATGTGAAAGAACAAGAAGAATGGTGAATATTGTCTGGGTAACACTTTGATATTACATCCTTAGCATATACCTGGTGGTACAATATGACAGGGTTTGGATTGCCCCCATATAAACAAAGAACAAAATTATTTTTTATAAAAATATTGTGCAAATTTTATCACCACTGAACATCAATGACAGACCATTAGTTCTCTGAGAAATGTGTTTTTAAAATATTTTTGCTGTTTTTTTTTTTTTTTTTATCAGGTTGGTACATTAAGGTCACCTGCTTTAGAATGAGGTCAAACATGAGGATGAAGCAGCCGAGATTCATGTCATCATCTTCACAGTCCAGATCCAGGGCACAATGGCCGGTGGCGTGACCCAGGTTTTTAAAGGGGCTGCAGTGCAGAGGGCTGCGGAACGGACTCCTGAAAGGGCTGGGGAAGGGGCTGAGGGTGTTGTTGTGTTGCCCACGGCGTCCTGGATCAGACACCACACTCACCTACAAGTAAAGAGTACAATATATGAAGTAAAAACAATGTCTCACTTCAAACTCAATCCATTTATGTCTTTGGCCATCTTTAAACCTTCGACATTTCTCCAAAATGAGTGCACGCATGAGTGCAGAGTTGCTCAACTATAAATGTCAGTGATAAATCTACATCACACTCAAGTTCAATTAAGCCCTTTTAGGCGAGCTATATTTAGACACTGGCAGTTACCATGACAACATTCAGTACATGCCAATGAATGGCAAAAAATAAAAGCCCAACAGAAATGTGCATGTTCTAATCCTAAACAGACATTTGTCAGAACAACAAAACATCCAGTAAAAGTTGTAATAACACCTAGTCAGGTGATGATTTCAGCAGAGTTAACTGGGGTTTTGAATCACTCTAAGCCCTAGCCTATTACTGATACTGTATGACAACTAAACTGCAATGGAAAGAATTGAAAATGAGCATTGGACTCCTGTATGTTTAATTTTTTGTGAGTATTTTAGGCATTGCGGTTCTCCTCACCCTCCGAGCCCCAGTGTTGCCAGTCAGATCTGAGTGGTGTGTCTTCTTCTGATTGGCCAGCTCCTTTAAAGAGTTCACTCCATCTGAGAACATCCCAATCAGCAGCTGAAGAGGAACCACAATGTCCAGCTCTGACAGCAGCTATGTCCAAAGAAAACACAGTGTCAGTTCACCAAAATCACAGAAAGAGATTTTTCTACTTTTTCTACAAGGTAGGTTGTTTTGGTTGTATTCCTTTAAGTTGAATGTTTTATAAAGTCAATAGCAGCATGCCTTTACAGAAACGTTATCTCAGAAAATTGCCAGCTTGTAACAGTTTGTATCAGAAACAATTTTTCTGAAGGAAAATAATGAAAATTATAGTTTTTCATTTTTTTCACCTATAATGATTCCATGTTTTAGGCAGCAAGAGAAAAACTAATTTCCCCTTCACCATAGCTGGGTTAGCTGAGTGATTATATGTCAAAACCCAGACAAAATGCACTATGCCAAGTTTTATGCACGGCGAGAAATCAGTGGAGTGAGTGGGAAATGTTTTTGTGTGTCAAACTGGCAGCACTTTTCTGTCTGATTTGAATGTGACCTATTTACTGAGGGTAAATTAATGCAATCTCTTGATCACAGTTGTGAAAGAAAGCTTGAAACTGATCCATGAATACAGGACTTCAAGCTCTGGGTGCATATGGGATGGAAGGCAAAATCCCTCCTACCTCTTTCAGTCTTATTCTATGACCCAAATCCATATTCAGGAGGGCTCCTGCCCAGACTCTCACACTCTGTGACAACCTGTTCAATTCACACTCACTGTGGACAGAACTGCAGGACATGACTGGACACAAGACTGTGTGTGTGTGTGTGTGTGTGTGTGTGTGTGTGTGTGTGTGTGTGTGGGGTGTGTGTGTGTGTGTGTGTGCGTGCATGCATGCACTTACATGCAGCCACAGCAGAGCTTGCTGTTGCACAGACGCTGGGTAGCCAGAGAATCTGCAGCTGATGAAGCCAAACATTTCCTCCATGGAGAAAGGCAGGGGACACAACTCAATATCAAACATCTTGCTGTAGGAAGAAGGCAAGAAATAAGAATATGTTGATATAAATGCAGGGAGGTAAGAGCAAAAATGTATCCTCAGATATTGTTACATAATCATTCTTGCTACTTCTGTTGTTTCATGATGCAGTATTGCAAATGTATTGTCCTCACAATGTCTTTGTGCTATTTCTTCTTCATTTGGGGATTTCATTTTTGCATTACATTTTCCAGCATATTTTATAAGTGGAAGCCACTAGCAACAGCATTATGTAATAATGGTAGCATAGCTAGTGCAGGAAAGCAAGACTTTTAAAGCTTTAATTACAGCAGCAGAGAGGTTTCATCTGAGGTTATTAGGCATGCCCAACAAATTAGGGTGTCTTGGTTAATTAACATTGTCAGAAATACACTTATTTGCTTTCTAGTTAGATTTTAAGATCAATATCACTGTAAGTACAGATCTGTAACAAATTTAAGGAAAAAATAAATACGTGAGAGGGGAAACATAACAGATGCAGATGATTTGGGTCTGCTTGTTCCCTTATAGGGGAAGGTCACTGTGAATTATTACACTGTTGTTTTGAAGGATTGCCTTTATCCTGTAATGAAACATTTCTATCCTAATGGCAGCGGTCTCTTCCAGGACTCCAGAGCCCCCATCCATAAGACATGAGGGGTCATTGAATGGTTTGATGAGTATAAAAATAATGTCAGTAATATTCTACCAAAGAAATTTCCTGGTGTCTCCACTTGGTACCTGACAGATTTGTTGTGATGACAAGATTCCATTAAAAATAAAAGCACAACTTGTCATTTTTATATTTCTCTTTGTACACAAGTTAAGAGATGGAGACAAAGGGTATTAATTATTAGTTTAGATGGTGTCTTCACACTTCTCTATGCTATGCTAAGCTTTTCCTATGCATAGACATCAGAGTGGTATCAGTCAACACTTGGCAACTCTTGGAAAAGAGCTTTCTTTCACTGACATCAAAACCTGTCATTTATCCTTGATGTGTAGACTACTACTATTGTCAGACTCTATCGTAGCTGCAGTGGAAATATGCTGACGCTATGCTGTGTGTGTTTGGCCAGTATCATCCAGCAACAAAAAATTACTCAAGCAAATGACAAAACTAGCCCAGAAGCTAAGGCAAAGAGTTGTCTGGTAATTCTATATACCATATACTGGAATAAGCACAGCCACGGGTAAGAAAACCAAATTATGTGTAATTTGATAAGGTACATGTACCTGAGCACTTCCCGAAACTCTTTGAGCTGGTGGTCAGGCACCTCAGTGCGAATGGCCTCCAGCCACTCAGGCATAAAGCACTCCCACAGCGGCTGACTGATGACATTGTAAGGTATCAGACATAGGATCCGGTTAAGGCCCTCCTTCAGTTGGGTCACCACGGTACATGACTTGTCCCAGTAACCTCCCACCTGGGAAAAAGTTAACAAACTGGTCAGCCACAAAAAACCTTTGGTAAAATTCAGTTCTCAGTGAAATCCTGATTTCATTTCAGGTCATTTTTAATCCCAGGTGTTGCACAGTGCAACACACTCAGATGTTGACATATGGTAAAACTGAGATCAACAGGAGTTGGCATGTACATTGGCTGGAGTTATAATGTTCATTTTCTGCATTTCCTCTATAATTCCTTAACCATGTATGCATAGTTAACCTGGGTCTTGACCTTACCCTGGCAAATTCAACAGGTTTAGGCAGCAAACACATGACCATGACGTCAAAGCGCACTTCACACACTGTCTTCAGCCACTTGGTGACAAACTGAGGCTTCAGCTTCTCTACCAGGCTTCCAACCTCATCATCCATCATGTAGGCAGTGGAGTGAAACCACTGGAAGACCATGCTGACAAGTCGAGCCAGACTCTCTGTGGGTGTGTTCTCATTGGGGGTACACAAGCTCACCTGCAGACATGAAGGTGAGAGAAGCAGACTAATCAGTCAGGTAACCATGAGTTCAACAGAGTAACGATAAGAGTCCATCTACTGTACACATTCTTATCTCTCCCTGCCCTGTTATTGACAGACACACCCACAGCTTATGATTACATACCAGGAACCAGATGCCAAACTGACTGAGGAGGCGTTGATCATGCTGGTCATCCTCTTTGTTATCAAACTCAATGTTGTCCAGAGAGTGGTGGGAGGCAGACAAGCCCATCTGACGACGCCTGTTCAGCTCAAACTCACGTTGTTCTGCATGAATTTCTGCTTCCTTGAGAAGACTGGATGCATATGGACACAATGAGAGGGTACACAGAGGCATAGAAGGCCCACAAGAGATATACTGACAGGGGAGAAATAAAAACACAGACAGAAAATATCCCGACACCACATGCACAGTACTGTTGTCTATACATTAATGAAAAACTTGTTTCACAGCTTCATAGACATATGCCCTGTAGCTGTCATATGTCAGTGTAAACACTGCACATGTACCTTATAACAGCTTCCACAGTGCATACAAGCTCCTCTGCACCGCACTCCCGGGTGTTGATGGGAGGGGGCGAGGTCTGATACAGATGGGTCTCCGCTGCAGCCCCCACCTCACTGCTGTGATGGTTGACATGGCAACGCTTGCAGTAGCGGACAGGCCGGTTGCCATGGCGCCCACAGCAGCCAGCAGAGAAGCAGGTGACCACGGCCCTCCTAACATGAGAGCTACAGTTCTACAATACAAAGCCAAGAAACAAGAGAAAGGAGGAGGAAGAGGAGGAGGAGATATCACTTCATCTCTATTCTTGGCAGCAAGGCAGCAAAAGTAAAAACATGTAACAATCTCTGTAATCAAATAAAAAGCCTCTAAAAATAAACATATTTCCAGGTCTCAAAAGCAGCTACCTACTCTCACAGTTATCTCCCTCTGCAATATGCATTTGTTTAGAGAGGTTAATTTGACCAGATTTTAATAGGGATACAAGTCTTTATATGTCCCCAGGGTGTCTCAGGTTTCTAAAAATAAAAAAACATGGCACTAGAGAAGGATCCTATTCTGTTCAGCATAAAATCTTGTGCCATTAGAGGGATGTAATGCTCCCAATCAAATTAGCATATCTGATGGTGAGTTCTTTCACTCACCCATCCATCTTTCAACATCAAAAGGTGCTAAAGAGATGCTACTGATGTTGTTGTTTCAGTTTGCTCTAGCTTGGACATTCTAGCTTATTATAAGTAGTTCTTCTCAGATGAATAGTACTGTCTCAGTGTCAGATTTGGTGTAAAGATCTTTCTGGAATATCAGAAAGCAAGGCTGGATTATAAACTGCTGGACAAATCAGGATGGAGGCCAGCTGTTTCCTCTGACAATACTGACTGGCTGCTCAGCCTGACAGGAATACCTGAAATCATCTTACACTCAGTTTTTCCAGTGTCTCCCTGGTAACCAGGAAACACCTGTGCCCTCAGCAGTGCATTCAACAACAGTGAACAAACATCATGCTGCAGCAGGCTCATTTAGAATGATTTGGCCTTTACTGAGCCACATCAGTGAATGGACTCCTCAAAGACATTTCAGGTTAATAAATACATGACTATGTTATGGATCACAGGTAAAAATAGATTTAATGAAATACTTCTAGGGTTAACAGGTTCGGTTTGTTTCTGTATTCAGTGATAAAAGCAAGTTACTGTACTGTTCGGTTTGGGTAGTTTAAATCAGAATGGCATTATTATAAAAAGGTAGACATGGAAATTAGAGTTAATATTGCAAGACAAATGTCTTACCTTTTTTTGACAAATGGCAGATATTTCTGCTGCAAAGCAATTTTCAGGCAAAAAAAAATGTAATTGTTAAAAAAAAACTTTATATTAAGTATATAGTAGTGTTCACTCATGAAATACATCCCAGTACATAAATCTTTGTTTAATTCACCAAAGAGCACAAACAACATATTAATATAATCTGTACTGACTATTAAAAGGTTTATATTATGGGAAAACAGTTCTTTAAATGACAAATTAAAGGAAAATCTAACATGAAGTGCCTCAGTAAAGTGTTGAGCCACTACATGCCACCAGAACAGCTTCAGTGCACCTTGGCATTGATTCTACAAGTCTCTGAACTCTGCTGGAGGGATGAACACCATTTTTCTAAAAGATATTGCCTCATTTGTTGTTTTGATGATGGTGGTAGCAACGCTGTCTAACATGTCCAAATTGTCCCATAAATGTTCAATTATCACATCATTTTCATCCTCCTCCACCATTCAGTGACATCTCGTGCCCTATGGATGGGAGCACCGCCAGCCTAGAAGAGACTACTCACTGAAGGGGTCAGGCAATCAGGTTTTTCCTTTGATTTGTCACCATCTGTTTGTCGTCAGATAACTAAGAGTACACTTCAGTTATCAGATTGAATAGGATTAAATATCTGTACCTACACCAGCTGTTGTACAAAAAAACCCTGTCTTCATCATGTATGCTGTACTGAATATTATATTTGTATTATGCCTCTTTATCAGTAGAAAGGACAAAAAACTGAAATACAAAAATGCAAAAATGTTCCAACTGATAGGTTATCTTTCGGTTTGTGAGCACTCACCTTGAGGCAGGAGTACATCAACAAGCCATTCAGCATGATCTCTGAAAAGGTCAAAGAAACTGATAAACAACACAACATGAAACAAAAATGTTAAAATAATATAATATGTCTATGTAATTATAATTATCTCCATGTTGGAAAAAAGAGAAATAAGTGTCTGTGTGGTTTTGTGATGATGATTTCATTATCAGCACAAGGGAATTACATAACCATGGTGATGTATTTCCCTGGAGACAAAGAGAGAAATAATGAGACAGGCAGTAGGTGCTGTATGTTTGGAACGGCATCTTACTGAAGGAGGGGGAGGATCCAAGGGATGGAGAAAAAAAACTCAAAGCAAATCCATACCCTGCTATCCTCTGGCTGCACTCCTCACATATATAAAGAGGAGGGGGCTTGTCTCCCAGGGCAACAGACAGAGTTGGATCTATACACATCTGCAAATGCAACACAGGCAGCATCAGAATATGGATATGGTATTTCAAAGAGACACATACAGATGCTTTGTTTTGTTTTCATGAAATAAAGGGAAAGCAACAACTTGGGAACGGCTGTAGGATAAAGACAAATTACTAAGAAAACTTACTTAAAACCCTTCCCCACTCTCCCCAGAAATGTAGACTATCCTCTCTTCAGCAAAAATAACTAAATAAATATAAATTTGCTAAACCCTTCCACCTTCATAAATTCTGTCCTTAAGAATAGAGTATAGAGTCATTCATTTTCCATGTTACCTATTCACACATTAATCTCTAGGGGTAGTATACTCCTGGTCTTGAACCAGAAATCTTGTGACACCTATACCTGTCTGTATCCCCATGCTTCTGTGTGGATGGCTGCTTTCATATGCTGCTCTCCACTCTCTTGCAACCTGTGCCTGACTTGTGCTAAAGCCCAGTGCTCATGGACTCAACATTCATATGGTGCTCTGCAATTTACTGAGCTCATCTGATACCACCCAGTCCTGTGGGTGTGCTATGTGGGGTCACTGATTCCAATTAGGCCCTCCTTCCCGGATGCCCCCTCCCTGCTCCTGGTAATTGAAATCTGGCCCCAGTCTGTGGCCCTGTTCCTTTTCCATTTACCGGTTTTGAGCACAGTTGAGTAAAGGCAGGCACAGCAGCTAAAGCAGTAGAGACTGGTATAAAGTAGCAGAGATCTTGATATCATTACCCTACTCACACAGCTGCCTGGGCATGCACAGATTTACTTACAGAGGGACACACAAAAGCAAATATGCCAACACAAACAGTTAAGCTCAGTATGGCAACCTGGCACATGCCCATGCATTCCCAGTAAAGCTCTCAAGGGAAACTGCTTTTGAATATGTGACATCCTGCTAATCTGTCTTCTGAAAGTAGTGTATGCATCCAGCCACCATAAATTTAACTGTGATGGAAGAGTTAATGTTTAAGACTTTATATATTTTTAAGACTGTATTCACCTTGACAGCGGGTTTATTGATAGCGTTGTGGCACTCAATATGTTGACAGTGGATGGGATTCCAGGCTGATCCAAGGAAATACAATGAAGACAGAACATTGGCAGGAGGCAAGGAATAAAGCAGAAAAATGGGGGATAGGTTTGACCTTTAGTCAGTTCAAGGACAGACAGAGGATCTGATGTGACATTAACAGAATCTGACCTGTGTACTGCAGCCCTCTATATTCACTGATGGCTCCTGGTGGCTTCAGGTTGGGCCAGTAATGAAACAGCATCTGCACAGCTGGGGGCTTTACTTGTGATGGACCATAAGATATGACATAAAGAAGATCCTGTACACAATATAAATGTCAACAGTTATAAAAGCACAATAATATTCAAAGATATATCAGGAAAGAAACCAGATTAAGGTTTTCATTACAACACAATTTATACCCATTCTATAAAGACTACATATTGTTTTAAAATCATGATGGGTTTTGATATTTTTAGATTTATATTCAAAGGTACAATTTTTTTAAACATGTGTTCATTTGCTTTATTTCCTACAGTTACAAGATTTTTAAAAAATTGATAGCACTCTCATGTCTCTACACTTAACACGAAGCCAGCACCAGCAAAGCAGTTAGCTTAGCTTGGCAGCCTATAGGGGGAACAGTTAGCTTGAAATGTAGCTTAATGCAAATTGTGGATTTGGGATATTAAGTACTGTTTTTTACAAATCTTTTTTACAATTTTATACTAATCAAACAAACAAGATATAATGAGTTAATCAATTAGCTTTAGCTGGTAGCAGATTTGTTTAAACACTTGAACAGTGCCAGTCTAGCTGTTTCTCCATTTCTACTCTTTATGCCAGGCTAAGCTAACAGTAGACTGTAGCTTCATATTTACAGCACAGATTATTACACAAGCATGATATTAACCTTCTTATCTAACTTTCAGTAAGATAGTAAATGTGCATATTTCCTCAAATGCGAATTCCTTTAAACTTTTCAAGAGACCAATATAATTTTTAGTTTCAGGCCAGACATGTTTCACAATTAAAAATAAGATATCATTGGAATGAAACTTGTCCATTATTACACAAATGTCTTCATATTAATATGATGTATTTAGAGGAGAAATACCTTCCACACTTCCTGTTTGTGCTTCATTAGACACTCCAACAACTGGCAATGATATACTAGAAAGATGTAGAGATTATTGTAAGTAAGGAGCCATCACTACATTACATTTCAGCATGAATTAGAATTGCAAAAGCAAAAGCAGCCAAAGTGATGGCTTACCTGGATTTGAGGTGTACTGCATTGCAATCATGAGCATAGAGGAAGCAGACAGATTGACATAGGCTGGGACTCCACCCTCCCTCCGAGTGGAACCCACTACAACAAGCAAGAAAAACAAAAAGGAAGAACAACAACTTGAAAGATTATTATTTGTTTTCTTTCAGGTGGCAGTGGAAATTGATGAACTGGTGTGTTAGTGTGATTTCAAAGCTTGACTGTAATCTCATAGCATTTTGTTAAATTGTCTGTACAATTCTTAACACCAGTTATATGCTGAGCTTCATTATGACAGGAGGTGAACACATCATGATAATTATCTTGTGATGGATGATACTTACATATAGCCATGGGGAGGAAAGAGTTGCTCAGGTACTCAATGATGTCTTTGTGGAGGAAAGGGGGAAATGTAGCTAAAGTGGAGATCATAGTATAGGGCAAAGTGCTGAGAATATCATCACTGAGAAAGGGCAGGAGGCAAGTTGTTGTATAAAATATGGACTGTCCCAGATCTGGTGAGAAAGAAAAAAGGCAAAAAAAGACAAAGAGAGATACACAGACACTCATTCAATTAACTGTACATACAGTATTCTTACACTGTATGCAGCCACAGATGTCAAAGTTACTTTTCAGTCATTTTAATGGTATAGCAGTGAAAAAAGAGAACATCTGGGATATGAGCTTCTGATGAGGGCAGTGCGCTTTCTTTAAAAGCAAATGAAGTAAAGTTTGCCCTCAGGAAAAGTAGAGCATTCAAGGAGATGGGTTTTCATGCTTTTGAGCTTTTTTTAACAGTGGTAAAATATTCATGAAAAATAAGAGTACTGAGTGTAATGCAGCCTTAGGCCCATGGAAAAAAAAACAGTGTGGAAATAAGTCATTCTCATATGTATTCTAAATGTATAAAAAAAAATAAAAAATTCATTTACCTATGTATGTTTTCCATTTAACATATATTTGTACAAGACAACATAAGTAAAACATTTCTCCCACTTTACATAACAAACATGCAGTCAGGTATGATAGACAGAAGAGAAGGCCTATGTCTGGTGTATCCAATGGCTTATGAACGATTAAGTTGACAGGATCCAGCGTGCTCCCAATCACCCCCATGCATCCCTCAAGATCCTCAGCAGAACTTCTCTCTTCCCGTTACAAAAGAGGCCAAAAAAGCAGCAGAGGCTTCATGCAGGCCAGAAGGCTTGGGGATGATGATGATAAAAAAGTGGTGCACTGGGCCTTGACTCACCATGCTGACCGTGCTGCAGCAGGGGCACCAGGTCAAGCAGGGTCACGAGGGTCACATAGAGGCCCTGATAGTCCAGAGAGGGGTACTCTGAGAGCTGAGCGTCCCGACTCTGCTGCCCCTGCCCCCCGCGGTCTGACGGGGCATCACGCAGAACGCTGTAAAGGAGGGAGCGAGTAACTGTAGGGTTGATGGAACTGACTTGTGGTCTTAGAGATGGGGTGAGTGGGAATGGCACAGGAAAAAGACACATGGTCATGGGCACGGCCAAATTGGAAGCTTCCTGGTTCTCCTTCCTGCCTGTGCGGGACAGAATGCTGCTCCGGGGCGGGAGGGGAGGGAGGGTAGGGGAGGGGAACAAGGGAAAAAAAGAGACAACAAAGACACAAAAAAACAGCACATTACATTGAAATGGCACTACAGAGACAGCGTAAATAGAAAAAAACAAACCCAGATAAACCCCACATAGGATGCAGTGTCTCACTATTTGACTGTATCACTGAAGGCATGGGCAATTTTTCCCTGCTTTGTCTGTTCAGAGCATTCGTAGTTCAATTCATCTCTTTTGTCTACTTGGGAAACAAAAAAACATGAGCACAAACTGCAATGATCACTGCATCTCATGCGTATCTGGTGACAAGGAGCAAAAATATAAAAAATGGCATGTTTTCAGTGGCAACCCCATACTTCTCCAAAAAGGGACCAGTACAATAGACTGTCCCTCAATGGCTGCCAGCTTCCAATCAGAAAGGTCAGTGGCTACCATGCAAAAAGGTCAATGAGCTGTGGAATTTATTTTAAAATGAAATGTCCTTGTCTTTGGTGGGGCTGTCAAGGATGGGAGTGACACCAAATTGGTTCAGGAAAATACAGAGGTGACACTTTTGAAACATGCTTCAGCCAGTAATAAACATGTGTGTGAGGTTAGATCAAGTGTTCCTAGGTCACAGCACATGTTTATTGCACCAGAGAAATAATGTCCGTATGCATACGTTATGATACTGTACCAGTATCATCAGGAGAAATAATGAGATCCAACAGGCATATGGATTCAGGTTTCTAAAATAAATGTCACAACTAATCTACGGTAGAGGAGAAACTATAATGACAAAGGAATAGGTTGTATCAGGGGGAGATGACTGGTAGCATTATGTTTGTGAGCTAATGCAGGATGGACAATTGTGTTTGCTGTCCCCTGGGGAAGGTGGTGGGTATATTCAATTTTAAGAGAGGAAAAACAAAAGCAAAAACTAGTAGGGTTGAGTGCAGAGCATCTAGGGTGGAGGAGGGGGAAGGAGGGGCCCGAGAGCATTGCTCTTTTTACTACACATTATTAAAGAGCTAAGCTGTTCTATCAGGCAAATGATTGGGATTTATCATGAAAGCCCAGATTAGAAATGCTGATGTAATTTTTTTTCTTATTATTTATTATGAGAGGTCACTCAAAAAGTAGAATTAACAGCATTCTTGGCAGGTGAGAAAGGGGATTTCATTAAGAGTTTTTTTTTTACATAACATTAGATGTTGAGGCAGTAACATTTTCTGACTTATCCCCTCAAAGTTATACTCTGCAAGATTTTAGTCATTGTAGAATCTTTCTTAAAACTGCTTTTTTACAACTTAAACCCAAACAGGACTAATATACAACAACTGACTCTATCTCAGAGTATGACTTTTTCACTGCCCGTATAGAAAACATCAGTATTAATTTGAACAATGAACTTAGACATAAACAGACACATTCACACGCATACACTGAACATATACACACAAGGACGCACACATATGTGCACACACACATACATACAACACAAAAATTACAAACATATACAACACATAAAACACATGTAGAAATGCACTGATACAGACACATGACATACATTGACTGTCAAACCCTGCACTGGTAATACAAAATCATTGACTGTGTGTATTAATAATTCAAAGCACATTCAGACTAGCAGGTTTTCAGGAATGTGTAGTAAAAGCAAAACTGCGTTACATCTAAAATAATGTCTAAACAATTAATAGATGATTCTTGCTCCCTGCAGTCTTTCTTGTGAGTGATACACTGTGGCATGAAGTCAGTGAGATTCGTTGATGCAGAGAGCACAGTTTGACTGGGAGAAATATGATGCCTCATCTTTACGGAGGCAAACTTAACCTTTCTCTATCTTCTGTCTGTATCTGACCTGTGCTGAACCTAAAATTGATGTGTGAATCAGCAACCGCCTCGTTTGGCCATTTCATTTTTCTTTCCAGGAACATGACACATGCTAGCTCCACGTTTCAAGGCTCACTCCTCCCACTGTCTCACTCTCTCTCTCTCCTTTTACATTTTCATTTTTCTTTCTTTCTTCACTCCAGGCTTCAGAAAACACAGGTGTATAGATTATCCTGGAGTCCCTGCTGAGGAAACCAGACCTCTCTAATGGTGGGGACAATCATTTGTTCTGCATATCAAAAGCTGAGAGGCCATATCAAGCAAGTGCTAACAGCGGCATCATAGCGAGTGATTGTATTCCCACTCGGATGACACTGTCCCTCAGAGGCAAACTCAGCGCTTGAGTTAACACAAATTCCCACAGTTGTAGCTCCTGTTATGCTCCATCTGTGCCAAAGACATATGAGAAGTTGTGTTTAAAGCAGAATTCACAGTGGCTGCCGGTGCTGGACAGCCCTTCAGCAAAGCACAAAGTATCCAGGGTACTGTGTGAGCATCACTCAGTGCAGGACTAATCCTTATGGGGCTGAGGCACGTGTAGAAGGAGAGATGCCAATCTCAAATAGATTGCACCCTAAGCTGATAATAATGATAAAAGTGGGGCATACAATTCATCTTCCAGTAATCCCACCCTTTTTGTAAATTAGCTAATAGGTTGGGACAGTGTCTCTATTTTCTCTGAAGCCACTGGGCAACAAGACTAAACCAACAACATCACATACAAAAATGTCCCATCACTGCAGGGTATTTTGGTATGGAAAGAAGCTGGAGCTGGGGGAAAAAGATAACTGACACATTGTGAAATTAAATGTGTCCAAAATGGCCGCCTACTTGACCTATGTTGGAGGAGGAAATAACATGCTGTTCCTTCCTCAGACTTTCACAGCACACAGGGGAGCTGGCTGACCCTGCAATAGCAAAGCCGGAGGAGCTGCCCTCCGCTGGTCCCTATGAAAAGGAACACAACAGGCCACCCCAGGGAAGCATTCATCTTGCAGCCAACCACTGAATCAATAAACATCACTGAGCCGTCTATCTCTGCTGTTGCTTTAACACAACACTGTAACCGAATAGGAAATCTTCTTCTCTGTATTCAAAGCTTTGCCCTGATTTCCTACTGACATGCTAAATTCATATTAGTCATTTAATGGTGTCACTGTCATCCCTTTCAGAAAGTGTCAGAACAACCTACTGTAAGTAAACTTGTGTGATCATAAAGGAAGCTACATATCAAACATTTTACAGTCTGTTACTTCACCTGTTGGCTCCAGAGCAGGGTACTTACCTGAGCAGGGTTTGGGAAAAGTATTTCAGAGTGTTTGCAATGTCTGTTCCAGAGGGCACAGGGTAAATATTATGTTGCACACGGTTGTGATACTCTTGCAAGTATCGTATCTTAGAGGCAACTAGACAAAATAAAGAGCAGAGTAACAAGCGAATCAACACTAATGAGACTCTAATCGGGAGCAAAAATAATAATTTGTGCAGAAAAATAAGGAAATTGGTTGAACATGCATGAATATACAGGATGTTTCTGTCATTGTTTCTTGGCTAAGATTGATGTAGACACTTAAAAGCTTGCAGTACAAATGCTCCAATTATCAAGTTAAACAAAGAGTCTGTGTTCTCATGACTCTCTGGCCTTTACCAGGTGACCTTTTTAATTTAGCAGCAAGGTCACATGAAGCCCTAGAGGAGGCAGTAACCTATTGCTTACAGGAAACAAGCTTATGCACAAAAGGCTGCCAGTTCAAGTCCCAGGACAAGCTGAGGAAATGTGGTCAGAGTTGAACATAAGAGAGGGCTTACTCATCCCTTCACTAATAACACTAAGAGACATTTCAGCAATGGGCTCTTGCTGCTGTTGACCTACTCCCTTTAGTCACTGTGTATTCATTATTTTTGCCTGGTTAAATGGGAGAAAAAATAAGTTGGACTGGATGATCGCTGACCCATTTTCTGTGACTTTGGGCTGTAGTGTTTAACTTCCTCTCTGACTTGTAAATGACAAATCCCACAATAAAAATAACAGCCGCAGGCTGACCATATGTGATGGTGCAACACATACTTTCTCTCCTTAAATGTAAACATCTTGAGAGACAAATCCATGTTTCAAACACTGTGATGCTTAAACACCTCACTAAATTTACAGCTGCCAATATGTTCTTTAACAGCACAAGCATAATCATATAAGCTGGGTTTATATTTTTCTATGCATGTTAGTTTGATCAAGTATTAAATATATTGATCACTAAACAATATCAGCTACACACAGGTTTAAGCCAATTGAGATGGAAGCCCCAAATATCAGGTTTGACCCCATGTGTATGTCTATTACATTCTTAGAGTGAACAATAGCTGATAAAAAGTGTGCAGAGATCGGTCAGTAATATGAGAGAGAATATAAAGACAGAGGTTGGTTTCCACCTGTTCAAAAGCAAATGGAAGAATAAAGAGGAAATTAACAACAGCCTTCAGGGTGGTGTGACCAAACAACATTATTGATCAATGCCACCATATTGTTCAGTAGAGACTCTACCAGGTCGACCTTGAGACCAACACTGCACCTCGCTACATCCAGACCCGTCAGTCAAAGAAACATAACAGGAGGACTGCGTGATCTAGAGGTAAAATTGTTTTCCCTTAACATGCAGAGACATACAAGGAGATACAGCGGTTTCCCGTGTGCACTGAGCCCCCCCATGCATCCTCTGCAGTGAGAGGACGTGTTGCAACCTGCCTTGGCAACCGCGGTTTCATCACCAAGGACAGCTCCTCTTATTCGCTTTCTTGGTTAAAACAAAAATCACATTCCCAGTTTCCAAAACCCCGTGACAAGACGCATCAAACACAAACACACAGCCGTACTTACACTGCTCTGCCTTGGTAGACATTTCGCAGACACTTGAGGAAACATAAAACCCCAGAGTGCCAATTGTTTTAGTGTGTTTTTTTCCTCCCTTGCGTTGTGTTTCCTTCAGTCCTGTAAAAGTGACTATACCCCCCCACACACACAGCTCAGGCTCGGCTTGATTGTACCACTCTGCGCGATGGATTCATCAGCTGTGGCTTTTTTAGCGGCGGTGCGGTCGTTTGCCTGAGCTTTTAACAGAATTAAAATGAGGACCCCTTTTGTGAGTCCGTTTTTAGTGTTAAGGATATTGTTCTTTCATGGCGGAGAGCAATGGTGATATAGCCTACATCTGCCACAACATACCTTTCCAAATGGTCTGATCCAGCTTTGACAAATTGTCATTCAAGAGTTCCAACACCCCTATCAGTTCTCTTATAGGAAAACAGACCATCGAGGACCTCAGCATATTTATGTGCTTCATTATTATTCATCATTTTTTGTCTTTGTGCAAAATATAAAACACTAAACATGCAACAGATGGTTGTCAAATTGGTATAATCATGGCGAGTCTTATATATATTATAACCATATAAATTATAGCCTATATTTTCTTTTGCTTCTTCTTTTTCTTTATTAACAAAAATGAATATTTGTCTATGGGCTATTAATCTCCATCATCACCTTAAAGTATCTTTAAACTGTTTTTAATCTATATAAATTCTTTAAACCTGTAAGCTGTAAGAAAAACATCAACTGGACTAGGTTTTTTAGGTCGAAGACGTTTCACCTCTCATCCAAGAGGCTCCATCAGGCCTGCCCGACTG